AAGACGATAGTACTGAAATCGCGCCAAGGTTTACTGGAAGTCTAACAGTGCATATGTTCCTAACTTGCTGTTCAGGTTACTAAAGACTAAGACCATTATGACCATTATGTGAAACCGAGTAAAAAATTTTGAGGGGGAGGCCTACTCTACGCCCACCAACCCAACAGGTTTCTGCAACCCTCTCTCTTAGAAAGAAAACTTTCCAGCAAAACTAAACTATACGATACTCCTTGTTGCTTTTTAAAGTTTAAGTGTGTTTTTGCAATGCTCTGTCCTATTTTTCTACTTGTTCTTCTCTATGACCTTACTGGAGATAGCTGGAGGCATTCATGCCAAGCCCTGTTTGTTAGAGCACTTTGTCTCTTTGTGAGATTCTGATACAATTACGGCCGAAACCGCCGAGAGCTTTTACAAAAAAAAATAAAACACAGATTTATTGAGAATAAACAGAGAACAAGGGCAAAAATCGCAAAAAAACGAGATCGTGGTGAGTTCAAGAGGAAAAAATAAAAAAGGATCACTGAGGACGTTGCTCACCTACCGCCGGTGAGGCTCGGACTTCGAATGACGTCCGAGACGCCAATAGCCGCGCCAAAATCGATGCGTGATCTCTTCGGTGGCAGATCACCAGCTGATCGCGACATCTCCCCCCCCCCCCGTCTGATTGTCGACGTCCTCGGCGGGCGGCCAAAGATGAGGTAAATGAGCTTCTGGTGCTGCTCGACGTATCGCCTCATAAAGAATCTTCGCATTCGCTACTCCATCGTACCTGCTGTAGAATTGAAGACTGGTTTCTGGAGCTGCTATTTCAGCATATAGTTTCCCATTCACACTGATTGTTCCGGATGTGATAAAGATTTGGTTTTTACCCCCGACTGCCGTTATCGTCTCGCCCAATATTTTCGACAATTTCTGCATTTGCTTCCATTTTTCATCTCTCCAAGCACGGCGTCCACGCAGTTACGACAGTTCCGCCCTCTCTTAGGTGTGTGAAAATGTCTCGACATATTTCTTCTATGGTGTCCTGCGTCCATTTCTCGTCTAAGGGCCAGGTAATCACCCATGTGCCGAATGTTCTCCATTCATTCAATAATCCTCTCAAGTCCGAAAAACTTCTGGCTACCGCTACTTGCATAGCGTTCTTCATGCCATCTCGTTCCATTATGGGCGCACTTTCCGGCGCTGCAAAACCGACTGGGCCTCTCTTCTGTGGTGTACTTTTCACATTTTTTCCGTTAGCTCCTTTTTGAGCTCTTGTAGGGCTTCGTCGTACATTGACTGCACCGCGTATCCATTGATTTTCGCATGAGCTTCTATCTTCTGAGCGCTACATATAAATTCTGTCCCTTCCGTGCAGCGATTGTACGCCATTCTCAGGACTGGCTTCAGGCCGGCTTCATCAAGGCAGATGCTTCTTCTTCTAAACAGCTTGATCTTCGTTGGGAGGTCTGTGTCGGTCCTTCTGAATATGCTGCTCGCAATCCACGCTTTTCAAATGGTGCCCACTGTCTCACTGGCGAATGCTCCTGGGAATGATACTCTTTCGATTTCCGACAACTTCGTCATTTGCCAGCAGTCGTCCAAGTAATGATATAATAAATGGCCAGGCTCCTTCTCATTGGTCAGCTTGGCGCCTCTGAAAATATCGAGTATAATTTTTGTACCTCTGCCTGACCTTTCTTTCTTCCTCTTCTCCCCTCTACAAGTAACCTTGCTAACTGGTTCGTTGGGGAAGTTTTGGGGTAAAATGCGTAGCTGATCATGTGGAATTCGGATTGGCTCGCTGTTTTCGCCTATTTTCGATAGAGCTGAGTTTTCGCTAGTCTGTAACACTCTGAACGGGCCAGCCCATTCGTTAGTGAATTTTGGATGCGCACTTTTACTTTTTTCTGCCTGAACCCTAACGTAAACCCTCTCTCCTATTCTTGGTAGCTTGGTGGGTTAACTTTGAAATTATAAGCATGTTTGCTATTTTGTACTCATATTTTCCTCCATCATGTACCTGGAGATGCTACTTTGTGGAATTACATCCGAAGGGAACGTCGGATCTATACCATCCAGGATGTAAAATGCTCTCTTGTTGCCCTGTGGGGGTCATATTATATGCTAGCATGCAGAACGGTAGCTTTTGGTCCCATTCCATGGGTATATTCGTTGTTTTTCTCAGCATTGCTACTATTGTTCCGCTTAACCTTTCTGTGATCCCGTTTTCGCGCGGATTGTATCCTTTTATGAAAATGTGTTCGATTTTTGCAAAACTTTCGATTTTTTGCATTACCTTGTTTTCGAACTCCGCCCCTCTATCTGATAAGATTGCTTTGGGCTATCTACACCCGTCGGCAATCCACCTTAGAAACAAAACTTTCGCTACCGTTTCCGCCGACTTATTAGCCACTGCGTAGGCCGCTGCGAATTTTGAGAAATGGTCTATTACCGTTATTGCATATCTGTTGCCTGCTGTTGTTATACCTAGTTCCAGCAGATCGACCCCTACTACTTCGAAGGGCTTTGTCGTTCGAATGGGTTTCAAGGGTGGTACTACTAATGTCGCAGGATTACTGAGAAAACACCTTTGGCATTCCGAGGTCCATTTGTTGATATTGCCATTTCCGGCCAAAATACTTTTTTTTTCAACCTGTTCAGTACCTTGTGAGCACTGAAATGGTCCGCTAAATTCCTCCGTGCGCTTCTTTAAAAACTTTGTATCGTGCACTTTTCGGTACCTCGTATATAATGAATTACCTTCTCTGTACATTTTGAGGTCTCCTTCGTCTATGACAAATCTGCTATTTTCACGGGCCCTTTCATTCCGGGAACTTTAGCCGTGTGGTCGAGGTTTTGATTTCTACGTTTTTGATTATCCAGACCCATTCCTTCTGGTCTTTTAGCTCTTCTAGCCATGCTGATTCTGCTTTGGTCTGTGTGACACACACAACGGGGTTCTGGTCGACTCCATCTTCGTCAGTGCTTCTTTCCTCTTTTACTGGCCCTCTGCTGAGTGCATCTGCTACTACATTCGCTTTTCCTTTCACGTACTCGATCTGCAGCTTGTACCGCTGCAGTTCGAGTGCCCATCGCAAAATGCGTTCGGATAGATTTCTTTCTTTTGAATAAGGCCACCAAAGGTTGGTAATCGGTTCTCACTACAGTTGGTATTCCGTAGATAAACATGTGGAATCTCCTGACTGCGAATACTACACCCAGTGCTTCGAGGTCAGTTATGTGATATCTCTTTTCCGCTTTTGTGAGCGTTTTGGACGCAAAAAATATCAGATGAATCTGTTTGTCTTCTCCTTCTTGTGACAAGACCGCTCCTAGTCCTGACGTAGACGCGTCTGTGAATATGATGAAGGGGCCTTCTACCACCTCGGGCCTCAATATTAGGTTGTGTTAACACTGTTGCTGTTTAAATTATTTGTTTCATCTTTCTTCATCTTTTTCTTTCGTCCTCGTTCTCTATTAGAGTGCTTCGCAGCTCAAAGGGTCAGTCAGTAATGCTAGATGCCCGCAGGTTACTATGTGAAAGGTGCTCGAGACGAAAAAGTTGAACACTGAAGATAGAAAAAGCAGAGAAAAGCAAGGGAAACCATTGCTCAGACATTCGCGGTTGACGACCGCCGGCAAAACGGAGTTCGACTCATTGAAAACATGCGGAACACCTCCGTTTGTTTCGGGACAATCAGGCTATTGGTTCGGAACAAGACTGCCGGAGAAACGCCTGTCGAACAGGTTTCACCTGCGCGTTTGGTTCGGGATTTGCCTGCAGCACATGTTCGGGTGGAATGCAGGTGAAACGCCGGTGAAATGCAGGGGTCCCGAACCGACCATGGGGCATGGAATTAGCCGTAGAGCGCACTTGATATTGTTCAAATTTCCGGCATACACTGTATACTATGTAATTAACAGAGACTGAATCGACAGAGATTTATTCGTCAACTCAACGACAAAACCATAAGAAATGATAAGAAAACTCGTAACAACAAAATCGCAGCAGCATAATTATATATTCCTGAGCAAAAAGAGAAAAATCTACTCTAAAGAACAGAATCGCAACAAGAAAATCATACATAACATATGTGAGCAAAACCATCATAAAGGAATCAATCTTCCTCAGGCGAGTCCCGGACTTCCGTTTTCTCGATTGTTGTCCCTTCTTGCGTCGTTATTACTTTTTTTTCTGGAATTGCGAATACCGAGGAAAGAAAAATGAAGGCAAGATAGTAAGTAAGGACTGAGCAAAGACAAGCCGATGAAACAAGAGTGACTGAGCACTTCATAGTTGCAAAACTAAAATACAAATGTCAGCAAAACTGGGATTTGCTTGTACAAGAAGCAACAATCCAGTTAAAAGCTTTAGGAAACAGGCGGAGCACTTGAACGTGTGCTTGAAGCCGGCTATCCTTACTGCATGCAGAAATGAAAATGAGCTTGATCGCGAATGATGGCGTCCCTCCGATACCTGTCGGCACTTGTCAAGTACGTCCGGTTAAACCCGAACGACTCACAAGGCCGATCGATTGTATTGATACGCGTCGGAACAATCCCGACGTAATTGCCGGTGAAGTCGGGACAACGGCAGGACACAACTTTGTCCCGAAACAAACCGAAAGTGGGCGGATCTCCGGCGGTCGTCAACCGCGAATGTCTGAGTGTATCCGATGAATGCGACCACGTGGCGATCGATAGAGGTCAGAAGATTCGAGAAGTTTGCAGCTCGAGACGCGCATGTAACAACCTGGACTTGACATGAATATACAGGTAAGGCGTTGGCAGAGCGAAGCCAGAGTGAAGCCAGAGACGAAGCCAACTCAATCCGGCGCGACTGTCATCTTCACTCATAAGCTTTTCAGGTTTCGGGAAGTTGCTAATTTTTTGTTTTCAAGAAATAACTGAGTAATTGTGCGTCAGTATCAACTCATACCACTCACTACCATGTACTACTGTAGGAAATCTCATTCAAGGTCGGTTCGCCCTTCTACATCACTAATATGTTCATTCAGGAAGTCGTGTTATGTTGGGCAGACATAAAAGAACAAGAAGACATTCAAGTTTGCGCAGACGGCTGAGGAGTAGAACGTACATCACAAGAAAGGAGCAAAGCTACGATTTACTTCAGAATTCTACCTATTCGTACCTTGTCGTATCTGATTTTTTTCTCATTCTCACATCGCAACTCATTTGCGCACCAAATTTTTCTTCTGCATGCCTTAATCCCCTTACTTTTTCCATCTGAACACCTCTTCTAATAACGTTCATATGATAAACTGCTGTTCATTAGCTGTTGGATCTGGTGTTTGCCTTCTATTTCGAGGGAGGGAACAGCCCGGCGTTATGCTAATGAAATAGCTCATGTTTGCACCAACCAAGTAGTTTTTTTCAATGTTCAAATATTCTCGGGTATTGTCAATAATTTATATTTTGCATTGTCATTTTTCCCATGCCAAAACATTGAGATTTTGCTCATTTACATAAAAACTAACTAGCCAGCAAGTTGCAAAACGTTGGCCCAAATGGCACACTCATACCAGCCACCGTTGGCTCAACGCCGCCTGACACTGCCGCTGCGCTATGCGCACCTCTCATCGATCCGGACCAAACTTGACACACATACACTTCGGAGCAGGGATGCCATAGGCTAATTTTCGTTATCGATTGATGTGATTTTTTGCAAAGTTTGAGCTACGGGGCTGGGAGTTGGCACAGGGGATATTCGAGCATGCTGATTACGAATATAATATCAGATTTTGAAATTATCCGTTTCTTTTATTTTTATCGATTTTCCTGCAAAGTTTTAGTTACGAGACTGGGGATGGGCACAAGGGGGAGGGGGTAAATGAGCATGCTTTGATTACTAACACAGTGGGATTAGGGAATTGGCATATAGAAGTGAGCACAGGGAAAGGTTGTACAGGGATAGGGATAGGGCCTTTATCATAGTGTTTTGACAGGGCCGGGCGGACGAGTAAGCCAGCTAGTGATTTGCCAAGTCTAGGGGTGTACGGGCCCTAGCTTGATGTGTAGCGGTACAGCTTGGTACTATATATATTTATTATCTACATATATTACAATAGAGGGGAAGGGAAAGACTGAGTGAGCAGCCTTACGGGGCGCGGTCGTAGACGGTCACTGGCTCCTATCTGACCTTCTCGGCCAGCTCACGGGAGAGCATCAGGCGGAGCTTAGCTGCGTCTCGACATATTTATAATTTCCCCTTTATATCATACATCTACCGTAATCTTCATTGCGACGTCAGAATTCGGCGGAGCAGCAGCTATACTTGTATGATCTGCTCCCAGATTCCTTCAGAAAGCTCGTCCTCGAGCTTGCTCGGCTGTTGTTGATCGTCTTCCGAGTTACGTGTGTAAGGAGTACACGTGTTACGGCAAGACCATAGAGAACTTCGATTTCGGTACATTATCTTCAGACTGATTGAGTGGAGGAGTTGGTTTAGGCGGATTGAATAATCAAACAGCGACCTTCACCTCATCCTAGGGGAACAGAGTGAGCTTGTCCTCAAGCGGAGAGGTTATACGGAGTGAGCGATGTGACGTAGGGGACTGCTTGGAAGAGGCAGTAACATGTAGTTGTAGGAAGTGAACAGGCGTATTATAGCCGGAAATTGACGAATGGAAAGTTGGCGTGGAGATTTATAGGAGTATAATGTGACCGGTATTTGAATGTTGATACGACGAAGTATGGGTTGAAGGGCACTTGCTGTAGAACATGATAATGAAAAAAAATAGCGTTGTGAGCAGAAATTACATAGTTAACAAAGAATTGGGCGATATTGGATGACATTAATAATTCTGGAGATATATCAAGACCTTATAATAACGGGCTAAGGGTTGTTTACGTGTTTTTGTGTGTGTGTGTGTCCGTCTGTTACGAAATTCGTAGAGCGTGTTCCAGCCAGCGTTTTAAGCCCAAATTTTGCATAGCGCATGCTACCTTCATGAAAGTTCAACGTGCAAAAGCACGAATAGATTCGTTGAATGGGTCCCTCAGAAATTGCGCGCCAAACGGATCCACCTGGCTTCTGTCCCGCAAAATTGGGTCCATATCACCACTTTTTGCAAAGTCCTGGATGTGTTTGGTAAGCAAATGTGCAAGCGATGGACTTTAGCCCAAGAAGTGGTCAAAAGTTTGCTACATAACGAAAACGGCGCCAGAAAGAGTTGGTTGCGTAAATGGTTAATTTGCTAAGGTTCTAGCTAAGCGTTTCAAAAGATTTTCGCACGGAGATGTAGCTCACGGTTACTATTGCCTTTAAGGGGACTACCAAGCCATGACAACTTCAAAAACCTATTCAAATTTGCGTTTGTCTTCCTACGAAAAGTTTCATCCACGCGAAATCGCCGATCTCACGTGAAAAAACTTTCTGAATGAGTAGCTGTTTACATTTAATTCGTGGTAGTCGGCATAGTGCGGTAAGTTCCATTGCCACGATTTTACGAGAATGAGTAAGGCACATAGATAGTAGAGCCAGTGCGAGCCTCTGCGAAGCAGAGGTGACGCACTGGTTTTACATAAAATAGTTAAGCGACATGTGGATTTTGGGATGTGTGATAATAAAACAATTAGGTAATTTGAACCGAGTGACATATAGTTATACAATATATAAATAATGCGAATGTTTACGAGGCGGAGGAAGATTCAGACGCTGAATTGAGCACAACAAACTGTGTTTAATTCAAGGTAGCAAATTTTGAGTGTTAGAAAAATGGGATTTTTTTTCGCTGCCTAGTACGAAATATATTTTTTTTCATTCTTTGAACTGCCGGTATCAATTTGGATATTCCATTATGTTCAGGAGCATATAGGATTTTTTTTTGACAAACAGCAAGTTTTCTTCTGTGAAGCTTTCGGTTAGAGGAGAATTGTTCTCTGAAAACAATCTCCTTTCAGCTACAAGTAATATTCTCTGAAAATTTTTTCAATTTTAGTTCTGAGGCTACGTTCAACAACGTAATGCAGACTTGGTTTGTGCAATCGCACAAAACTGGAGAAACTGCCATTTTCCGATGTTTTTACCAATAGTATGTCCGTCAATTCGAATCAAAGTCATAAGCGCGTTATTCAATGAACTATTACCATCGATACATGTTTCAAAATCATTTTGCAAGCTTCTTTTTTTTGAGTGTGTGCTCACAGACTTATCCAGAAATGCTGAGGCAATGAGCCGATGTGAATTATATGGGAAAAAAACTTTTTGCTCTTTCGGGCTGTCAGATTCAAAACTCAGTGCAAACAAGACAATGAACGCATTTTGTAAAAGAAAGCTTTTTTTCATCAGATTTGTGCACAATCAAAAGAAAAAAATGCATCATCGGAGACAATCCGAAATTTCTCAAAAGTGTTTTCTTTTTTTTTCTTTTTTTTTTGAAAATTCATTCTTTCAAACTAGAGTACGCTACCTATCGCATCACGACATAGGATTTTAGCTTGATCAGAACTATTTGAATCTCTATCAATGAGCTTAGGAGCATTCAGCTAGTGAAGAAATTATGCTATCCACTTGTGATTTCTCAGTTTCAGACCAAATGCATCATTGTTTAGCACTACCGTTCGCATAAAACAACTTAGAGCGATTACGCTTTTAGAAAAATATTGCGAAAATATTTTGCACAGAAGTTTTGAGACACTATCCTCAACGGTTTGGCATAGCAAAATTCGCGATTTTTTTTCAAAATTCTCCTTTAATGCAACATAGGTGCAAACTAAAGCTGCAATATTTGCTCAAAAATATTAACAGCGCATGCACAGTTTTATTACGTCATCTTTAAAACTTTGAAATTTGAAAGATTCCATACTATTATATTGCATTTGTTTGGGAGATGTGAGACATTTCTTTTTTTTTACTTGAAAAATTCTTTCATAATTAACGAGTTTGAAATTTGATTTTGAGTTTGATTCTGAATATGTGCTTGGGAAATATCTTGTCTGGCTTCTAAGTGAATGCTACTTCAATAGCATGTCAGGTTTCTTCGTTCCTTTTTTTTGGAATTAGGAAAACATGGGAAAACTCAAACATATATTTGAAAAAACCATGCAGTGCGAAAATGTTGTTGAGAGAAATCACTATACTCATTTCGAATTTGGACGTTCGTGATGGCCGACGCCAAAATCGCTTTTGAAAAAATATATATGAGACATGAGTATATGCTTGGAAAAAAAGATGAAAACGTAAATTCATCTATTCTGGGTTTGATCAAAAATTGCATAGGAAACTTGTTTCCCCGAGTGACGAGAAAGATAGGATATTTGAGCTGTGATTGTGAGATTGTTATAAATTTCATCTGGATTTCGCAGCAATAACTCAACTTAGAATCATGAGTTTTGGTACACGATAGTTTTTTTTTAATTTCAAGAGAATTGAAAAAGAGAAAAAAATTCACTAAAGTTGTATAGTCTAGCAAGCTGTTATAAAGTAATCACTTTACACTAACGAATATTCTCTGAAAATTGCAAAGTGTATTGGCAACGCGACAGTTCTTACTTCTACTACAGCATAACCTCTCAACTCTGCTAGGAGCCTTTTCGAGAAAAAACAATTTAGTTCACTGTGGGATCAATATCAAGCTTGTGCAGAAAATCTTAGGATTGAAAATACTTGTCCTCAAACGCAAATATTGCACAAGATCATTTGAATTCTTTCGTAGAAATGGGTAGGAAAATCATGGTAATAGTCTTATCAAAAACCTATGAACAGAATAGTGCATATTTGCTGAGTATATGAAGAGTTCCAATTTTGCGCGAAGAATTTTTTTTTGATGTTCCTGAAATGTATTTCAGTAATACTCCTTTGGAAAAAACCATTTTCTTTCTCATCTAAAAACCAAATGTTCACGGTATTCCCTCACTTGACTTTAGGGAGTTATGAATGCGCGCATTTTCACTATCCTTTCTTCTGACATTCTCTCAACAATGCTCATAGCAGTCTGGGAATCAGATGTTTCTAGGTATTCTTCTTTCTCAACAAATTTTTTTCAAGCAGTACAATTGAAGGTTCGAGCGACGAAAGTATAAAGAGTCGAATTTGCACTACCTGTTCGGTCAAATCATTTATCAAAGAATAGGTCTTGAAAAGAAGAGAAGTGAAGGAATTTTTGTAGAAGCAGAACTTTGATTTCTACTCTAGACATAGGTTTCTCAAAGGGCGTACATTTTAGATCTTGCCTATGCGAATATCAGTTGAAATTAGGAGAAAAAAATTTTCTAGCCAATTTTTTTTTCAAACTAAAGCTTTGCTCACTTTTCGGCCATTCTATGTTTTCTCAGCAGCTATATGACGACACGGCGTTCAATAAAGCGAGTTTTTTTTTGAATTTACATATATTGTAGCAAATACTGAGTGCAAATTGGGAGCGCTGTGACTATTTAGATTCGAAGGACAAATAACTATTGGCTTTTCGTTTTGCCTTGAGCTGCAGCAATGACTATCA